CAGATTTCTAGACACATATGAATTACCAAAACTGAACCAAGAAGATATAAAAATATGGAACAATCCAAAAATAGGTAATGAAATTGAAGTAGTAATAATAATAAAAAACTACCAACTTAAGAAAAGCCTAGGAACTGATGGATTCACCACTGAATTCTACAAGAACTTCAGGGAGGGGCCGGGGATTTAGCTCAGTGGTTCTGGCGCCTGCCTTGCAAGGGCAAGGACCGGAGTTCCATCCCCAGTACCAAAAAAAACCCACGAATCTCAGAAAACTATAGGCCAATCTTCTTTTTTTTTTTCTCTCTGTCAGTGTTTATTTGACAAAAATGTATACCATCCCCTAAAGACATCCAAGTCTAGCATTCCAAAGTGATGGAAGATCAGAATTGCTTGTAAACATTACTTTATTTCTTCTTTCTACAGGTATGCCTTTTTTTTTCAGCTCTAGATTGAATTCAGGGCTCTGCACATAGTAGGCAAGTACCTTACCATTGACCTGCACCCCCAGCTCTCCTGGAAATGGTTCTTAAAGCCAAGATGTTTGGTCTCTTTATATTGCTTATGCCAGCTGGAGGTCACTGCGTCATATTCAGCCCTCTCTGTATCCTCATGGGCGGGTCCTGAACAGATTTTCCACAGTTCCTGTGTACACAGATCCAGCAGACACCTCTGCCCAGTACCAGCAGGCTACAGTGGCACAACCTTCTTGCCCCTTCATAATTTGGCTGTGTGACGTTGGAAGCAGTCCAATCAGCTAAGTTCACTTCCAGCCAAGGTCAACTCAGGCCAATCTTCTTAATAACATGGATGCGAAAATCCTCAACAAGATACTGGCAAACAGAAAGCAACAAATCATTAAAAAGATCAGGGCTGGGAATTTGGCTCGGTGGCATTGCACCTGGCTCGAAAGCACAAGGTCCTGAGTTCAATCCCCTGTAACAACAAAAAAATCATACACCCATACTGATGTGGTGGTGCATGCCTGTAATCCCAGAACCTGGGAGGCTGAGGCAGGAGGATCTCTGTGAGTTCAAGGCCAACCTGGGCTACATAGTGAGTTCAAGGCCAGCCTGAACTCCACAGTGAGACCTTGTCTCAAAAACCCAAAAAAAGAAAAGAAAAAAAAGATCATACATCATGACCAAGTTGGCTATATCCCTGGGATGCAAGGATGGTTCAACACATGCAAATCAATAAATGTAATACATTGCATAAACAGATGCAAGGACAAAAACCACATGATCATTTCAATAGAAGCAGAAAAAGGCTTAGCCAAAATCCAACATCCATTCAAGATAAAAACCCTGAGAAAATAATCATAGAAGGACCTTATTTCAACATGAACAAAGCCATTTATGACAAACCCACTGCCCACTTTCAGTTTTTTTTCCCTAAAATCAGGAACAAGACAAGGATGTTCACTATCACCACTCCTGTTCAACACAGTATTCAAAATTTAGCCAGAGCAACCAAGTAACAGAAAGAAATAAAAGGGATACATAAAGGAAAGAAGGGGTCAGGGATTTAGCTCAGTGGTTCCAGCACCTGCTTCGCAAGCTCAAGGTTCCAAGTTCAATCCCTGGTACCAAAAAAAAAAAAAGAAAAAGAAAAGAACTAACATAGAGGAAAGAAGTCAAGCTGACATTCACTGATGATGTAATCCTGCACAGAGACTCAAAATGTCCCCCAAGCTTTAGCTGATAAGTAAATAATAAATTCAGAAAAGTAGCAGGGATCAAAATCAACACACACAAATCAATAGTGTTTCTGTACACCAGCAATGAACACACCAAGGAAGAGGAAGAGAGAGAGGGAGGGAGAGAGACAGAGAGAGACAGAGGGAGAGAGAGGGAGAGAGAGGGAGAGAGAGGG